CTTTGATTACGTAGAAAAAGGCACGTTTATAATTTCATCTGTTTAACAACTGCTTAAACGGTTTTTTCAGCATATTTCCGCTTTTTCGCTGTTGTATTCCCTCAGTTGTCTGTATGGACATGCGTTATCGACTGCCGTTAGATGATTTTTATGATCTTTTCGTTCTTTTCCACCAGAAATTTCCGCGAAATGGAAGAGGAATGGTAAGTGCAGAATTGGTATGACACTTGTATATTGGGTCAACTTGTCTGTGTTGTAAAATATTAAGCGTTTAAGTTAGCCAGAAAATTACGTCTACACTTGAAGAAAGGCCCTCGGGAATAGGACTTTCATGCCTGGCCCGAAAGCATGTAATATCCAAATTTACAGCACTTTTAACTAAAGCGCGACTGTTAGTGTACCTGGCAAAAACTCTAACAAAGTTCCAAATTGTAATAGGCATGCTTGAAATAGTCCACAATTTCAGAAAGTACAGTGTTTGTTATGGAATAATAGAGGAAATAGGGAATTCACACAACCACAAGACGCGTGGCGTGACGAAAACGGACATCCGAACTCCTTATTTCGCACCAGATGCTTCACCAATTGAACAGTTGGACAGACAGCAGTCGGCTGTTAGGAGAAAGGTCTCAATTATAAACACTCTCTAACCGGCGACTTCCTTTAAACACAATAGTTTGCTTAATGCCCTCGATCTGGGAGCTGGAGTGCTAATGCAGTTCTTTAAAGTGAGCGCATAAGCAATATGGTTATTGGCAATCATTAAGAGAAAGCGTTGCAAATTGCTGTGATGTCCAGTCTCCTTTGGGTTTGCCAGCAGTGTGAAATGTTATGTAAGAAATTAAGTATGCACGACCTCCACCTGTGCTAGCGTTTCTCTTACTTCCAACGGAGGGATAGGCTTAAAAGCTACTTCGTATGATGTAGCTTGCCTGGTATTTCGAAATATGCCCAAAATAAACATACGTAGAGGGGTTTAATTTCAAAGATGTTATCAAATAGGATAAAAGGGTTGATAAGTCGGGTGGCTCCCTTCAAAACGGACCGCTTTCAAGGAATACAAACCGTGAGATGTGCAAAGCGCTGGCTCTTTTTTGGAAAAAACATAGCTGTCAAAATCCTACCTCAGCTGATATACGTGGTTCCGAAAACGACGTTCAAGTGCAGGAGGCCTGCTTATAGGAAATTACCTACCGAAAATAGACGCTCATTCAGGAAAAAAATGTACTGCGTAAGCATGCAGGTCTGGTCTACTTAACTATTAGCGTGGAAAGAAAAATAAACGCTAATCCACAATCTCCAGCAAACCCCGTTGCCGTCAGGTGGTGAGTCCTGCAACCTACCTCAAAAGCCGATGACGGAGGTGGGTGTCAGGTGTTTTCGCACGACGGCAGGAGAATGTGCACAGCGTTGCTCCCGCTGACACTCCTCCGGATTTTGGCTCGCTGGCCTGCACCTGATTATCGATCCATCGGCACACCCATTTCCGTGACGTCAACGCACATGAGTGTATGCGTGGAAAAGCACGAGGGCTGACGGTGCGCCAGACAGAGGTGTGAAGGCGTTGATGTTTGAAAAAAAACCGGATCAACATGGGATGCCGGCGGAGTAACAAATGCGCTCTGAATACACGTGATCTTTAGGGCGTAGCTCTACATGAGAGTGAGCAATGAAAGCAAGATGGTCTTCAATATCACTCCACTCTGTTAGCCATTTAGGAGAACCGCAGGGCAGCTCCTCCATTCCATACAGTGAGTGACCGATCTCATGAAATGTTGGCTGAAATTCTGAAATGAGTTTTCGATTAGGAAGGATTACTTGGTCGCGGTTGTAATACTGATTATCATGCGGCATAATCTGATAACATTTTGGACTTGGCAGGATGTCCGCTTTTGAATACACGGCTTTTCAAACTCCTGTAGATGCCGTACTCGGAAAAAATGACTACTTAAGTGGCATGCATTTTTCCCCTTGATTTTGAATGGCTGTGCAAATTAAAATATATCTTATAGAAATCATAAACAACATAGGCATTTTTTAGTCAATTAATAGAGAGTCACGTCTTCTTTATATTTTATACTCAAGGAAGGAGAATAATTAGGTTCTAAAAAGTTTTTAATTATGAGATTTTTTTAAGACCTCGCAATGTCCATTCACATAGCATCGTGCCTTGCCGTTTACCACAACTCCTCATGAAATTTACAACATAGTCCGCATCCATTGCGAAATTTTATGGACTCTGTGTGATATCTTTTTAATGACATAAAAATATGTGATTTTCTTTACGCGGGAAGCATGCACCTTGTAGACTGAAGTCACTAAGCGCTGGTCAGACTCCAAATTATTCGGCAATTAGAAAACTCTTTCAAAACCTAGTTATTTTTCTTCCTCGAGTATATAATATAAAGGAGACGTGATTATCTATTAATTGACTGGAAGAAAGCTTATTTTTGTTTATGATTTCTATAAGATATATTTGAATTTTCACAACCACCGAAAATCAATAGGAAAAGGGCATGCCACTTAAGTAGTCATTTTTTACCGAGTACGGTTTCTACAGGAGTTTGAAAAGCAGTGCATTCAAAAGCGGACATCCCGCCGAGCCCGAAATGTTATAGGATTATGCCGCAAGATAATTAGTATTACAACCGCGACAAAATAATCTTTCCTAATCGAAAACGCATTTCAGAATTTCAGCCAACATTTCCTGAGATCGGTCACTCACTGTATGTGTCATTTGCCAGTCTTACGGTACTAGTGACCAAGACAGTTGTCGAAAGTACGTTATGGTTATATGCACAGAAGAATGAAGGGCAATACCGAAACTAAAGACTCAAGAGAAAAGTCACCTCAGCAGAAACCTTGGACTACGGTAAACCTACTTTTCTGAACACGACGCTACCAGTAACTCCTTTGGTTTTTTCCGATTTCATAGTTCAAAAACTTGGTTGAAGATTACAGGAAGTCGATAAAAATGCCCCGTGCTGGACACGGTCATGCAGGACTAACTGTTTGAGGACAAAGACTGAAAAATTTTAAAACTCGTCTTTGTTCGTACTTGTACTCCGTAATCAAGTGCTCCCTTCATGTTTTTTCTTAAAAATCCTCTAAGACATCTGTTTCCCAAGCACAGAATTAACTAAAACAAACTGAATACTGACCACTGACTCGGAACTTGTATAAAATTTTCGACGGGTTTTCCGAATCTCCACCACTTTACAGTGGGAAGGCTTCTTAGCCGTCGTCAGCCCGTCCTACCCAACCCCGAAATGTGGAACACCCGAGGCTCGAACTCGCGACCTGTTAGTTAGAAGTCCACGCCTCTAACCACTGGGCCACGAGCCCGTTGCCCTTGTCTTTGTCGGTAATAACATACTGCCTATATCATGCGCCGCTGTGCGGCTGCTGGTTGGGCTCGAGAGAGAGCCCGTAAAGCACAACGCGACGAGTGAGTTCCGTAAGAACGATCGGTGAGCGCCTCCTACCAAAGGAGGTAATGGAGGCGACCTACGGATGGGCTTTTATTTATGCCGAAGTAAACATGCTGTGGAGAAGGGAAAGCAACCATAAACAAGAAATGATGAGCTGAGGAGGAAGAACGCCATCTGGCCGGTAAGGACTCGATTAAAGTACACGAGAGATGTTGGTCATGAGCTGTTTGGGCATGGTTCTCAGATCTAGAGTCCAGCTGTTAATGTACAAAGCACTTCCGAATTATCAGCACCCACACGTCCATTTTCTGTTTCTCCCACAGTTCCTGATCCCTGCTCAGAGCGCCGAGCTTGTACGTGGGGTATTTTTTGTTCAGTTGATGCTATCACTCATACGGCACTAGATTATACCGCAGCTACAAAAGGATTGTGAGGCAACATAGGTAAAAAGCATACCAAGCGTGCATGCAAAATGTAGTTACCACGCTTTTGTAGGATTAATAGGCAATAAAATAAATTTCATTTGGGATTGTTAACTTTTGCCTAGCCGTACATTGTTCATACGTTCTGGATTTTTGTGAAAAGTGTATGGATTAAACCTGCATGGATAAAGCTTAACGGTCGAATTTCTCTGAGAGAGTCTGCATTCTGCCTTTAAGTGACATTAAAAAACCCCATCAAATTGGCCTTTCTGCCCGAAGATATCCAGAAAGGCATATAATTGATACATAGGACAGTTTAAATGGATTTTAAGGAAGAGAACAGAGTACAAGTTTTAAATTGGACTTCACAAGCCTTACATAGCAATCGCCAAAAAATTCATACCTATTCTGTATGACCAATATAAATCGAAGTACCACGCTCCTTTCTATTTAAATTCCTAGGGTAAGGTGACACCATACTAACAGCACAGGTACTAGCCAAAAGCCCTGTGCCTATAGACCTTGAATATACTGATCTACTCCTACTTCGCACAAAATTTCTCAGGAAATTAAAAAGTGACAATTTAAATTCCTCCCTGCTTCCAAGGGCAAGACACGGGAGCGGGAACTCCCCTTATTATGTGGGTCTTGCGCTAATAGCCAGGGAGATCAGGATTGATGTTAAGGCCAGGGTTAGGCCCGAGGATAGGGCTGGGGTTATGAGTGGGGATAGAGTTAACGCTCTGACGTCGGCTAGGATGCGGAAAAATCTACGTTTTCTCGAATTTCGCGCAAGGCCACTTGTATTTCCGAAGGGTGATTCCCATTCCTCCGCCTTATCCTCTCAAAATGCGGCTTAGTATGCAGTAAGAAAGTAGGGAACTTCGCTTCTATGATACGATGACTACGTTCTCGTCTTCCGGCACGGTCGACAGAACATGCTGGTGACCTAGGCGATCTGCTGGAAGGACCACCATTTCGTCATATCCAATATGAAACTCCGTCTGCAATCCCACAGGAGACCACAAGTTAAGAGCCAGTAAAAAAGTTGAATACGGTTCTGTTGAATTTGTCTGCTCGCCGTTTACATTTCAGCAATCAGTTAGCTCGTCACCTGAAAAATCTGCCGGCCCCGGACTTCAAGTAGATGGTGTCAACTGAGGGACCCCATCTAGTTGACTGGCCTGGACGTCCTCTGTGTGCACATTGCCAGCACCAGGACTGGTTTGACGAAAATGGCGCTGCCATCAGTAACCTGCTGGCCGAGAAGAACGGGCTGCATGGAGTCTACGTTGATCGCCAAGCCGACGCTAGCAAAGCGGCCTTCTATCAAAGTCGCCGCCTAAAGCAGCAACGGTTGCAAGAAATGCGGACTCCTGGATGGCTCGCAAGGCCGAGGAGGTCGATGGGTATGCCGACCATTACAAAAAGAAGACAGTCTTCGTCGCGATCAAGGCGGTCTACGACCCCCCAACGAAAGGAACTGCACCGCTTCTCAACTCTGATGGCTCAAGGCTTCTGCCAGAGAATCGCAGATTCTGAAGCGTTGCACGGAACATGTCAGAAGCGTCCTCAATCGTCCCTCCACAACCTCCGACGCCGCCATCGGTAGACTCCGTCAAGGCGAAACGAATGCCGCCCTGGATCACCCGCCTTCCCTTTCAGAAACCATTTACGTCGTACACCGACTGGCCAGCGGAAAATCACCGGGATCCGACGCGATTCCGGCTGCAGTCTGCAAGCACGACGGCTACCGGCTAATGGATCACCTCATGGACCGTGATAAGTGTCCCAGAACCAGCATCGTCTACGGGACCGATGGACATCTCCTCAATAGCCGGCACATGCGGGCCCCAACCCGCCTCTCCACGGACACAGTCCACGATCTGCTCTTCGCCGACGACTGCAAACTCAAAACCACGACCGAAGAAAACACGCCACGGGGTATAGATCTCGTTGCCACTGGTTGCGCCTACTTCAGACTGATCAGCAATACAGAAAAAACGGTGATAATGCATTAATCGCCACTGAACGCTGTATGCAATGTCCCCCGTATCCATGTCAACGGTATCGACCTGAAGACCGTGGAAAATTTCAACTACTTAGGCGGCACAGTTTCACGTTGCAGCATAATCGACGACGAAGTGGTCCACCGGATCTCCAAAGCCAACCAAGCCTTCGACCGACTGCAGAACTCCGTGTGAAATCTCCACGGCCTCCACCTCAGCACGAAACTGAAAATGCATAAAGATGTCATTTTGACGACACTACTGTATGGAGCGGAAACCTGGACAGTCTGTGCGAAATAAGCGCGGAAGCTCAATCGTCTTTATCTCAGTTGTCTTCGACAGATACTAAAGCTGAGGTGGCAGGGTGGGATTCCGGACAGGAAAGTTCTTAAACAGACAGAAATCCTCAGCATCCACGCTATACTGGGGCAATTTCAGCTACATTGGGGCGACCATATCGGGAGGATGGAAAATATGCGTCTACCAAGAAAACTCTTCTATGGCGATGTCGCCATGGGTGTCCGCGGTTACATGGATACTGTGAAAAATTCTTTGGAGTGTTTGCATATCGACCCGAGACATGGGAAGATCTCGCACAAAAGTGGCCAGCTTAGAGAACTGCAGTGAAGACAGGGGTAGCAATCTACGAAGCAAACCGGATCACCGCCACTAAGGCCAAAAGGGAGGCTCACGAGTCACAAGTGTCTGGACTCCATAACGCCAACAGCCAAGCTCCTTCGAACATGCCCGCTCTGCCAACGCACATTCCGAGCGCTTATCGGTCTTGTAGGTCAGCTTCGGCAGCAATGAAACAACAACTCCGCAATATCCATTCCCCCTTCCACAAACAGCCCTGCCGCCACCTCTACCTCGAGGCCCACGACGATGACCACCCCCGACACCAGTGACCACACTTTCGACCCCCCGCCGCCGTCGATCGCCGGCAGACATCACTCTCCCTGCTCCAACCCCCGTGCCGATCACAGCGACCAGCCCCTTCTACACCACGACCTTTCGCATTCTCCCCCGCCAATAAGACGATATCCGACGCCCCGTCATTTACTACCATCACCAACATCACCCCAGCATCCAGTGATGTGGGCTCGATCCATACCTGTCCTCACTGTGATCATACATTCACCTCGCACATCGGTCTGGTCGGTCACTCGCTAGTTCGTTGCACAGAGACTGGCGAACCAGTGCCTGGGGCAAAAACCTACACTCGCCGCATCTGTCTCCACTGTTCACACTGTCCCCGCACATTCAGCCACCGCATGGGCCTACCAGGCCACATGCGCACTCATGAAAACCTGCGGCAGATCACCACAGAAACGACCATATCATCACACATTCTCCCACAAAAAGGTGCATCGCGCATACATTCCTCCAAAATTTCACATCACCGGCACCCTTCACGTAAGTGGGAAGTGTGCTTCTTAGCCCCTTTCTCCGCGTAGTTCCATTGCTGCTTGCGAGATATGAGCGTTGTATCCCCCCTGGTGTGCGTTTGGGGGGCCGGGTCTTGCATGGGGCGCGCACAGACGAGCTCCCTAGCTCTGTCAGCCACTGCGCCTATTTCCCTCATCAGGTCCCTGACCGGCTCAGACGGTGGGTGGGGCCTATGAATGAGAATCGAGTGAGTTCGACGCTTCAGCGCATTTCCACCACTATAGACAATCTGACGTGATTGAGGCTATCACGGTACGCTAACAGCCGTGGCTTGGGGAGGTTGCGAACTGACGCTGGGACACAGATCTCGCGGTCGGTCCAGTGTGTGTTTGTGTAGAGTGGCGGACGGGTGAACTGAGGATCAGGCTGTAATGGCTCCTTCTTAATGTGGTCTCTATCACACTCCCACTCCGAGCTGGGTATGGCGTCGCGCCTCGGGGCGGCTCCGGTCACGTTAGCCACCTGTGCTCTCACTCACCCCCGGTCTTCACGACTATGTCCTTACACCTGTCGCAAGTGGGGGGGGGGAGTACGGTAGATGCGACACAAGTCTACTATCACGATAAACGAATTCGCACGCAAGTCACCGTGCCTGCTCTCACCTTGCTGTGGAGCACACGGCAGACACTGTCGGTCACGACGGCCGAACTGTCGGTAGACAGTGGCGTAAAACGGGCTCTAAAGCATCGCACATACAAATATCGGCTTTCCAAGGATTAAATTATTTATCCAGGGAACTTGTGTGCAAGATAAGGCCTTGGACGAAACACGCCTACCGACCTAAACGAACTTATTAGGAAGAAAATAATGCATAAATCAGTGTCTAGGTACGCTTTCGTCTGCCCCTGGTGGTCGGATGATCTGTGAAATATGGTACAACAATGCAGAACGCACTACACAACCCAGACATCCTCCCAGTTGAAAGCAAGTACTTTTGCCATCTAATCTCTTTCGTCTGCTTCTATTGGAGGACATCACGCGCAACGTGACGCAAGTTGTTCGGAACCCTTCAGAATCATAGTTTCACATGACTCATCAAAAGTGCATTGTCAGGCTTTCAAGTGGGACCGCTGGATGATCACATGGCGTAGTTTTACCACTGTGCGAAGTTGTCATTTGTTGGATGAAAATGAGTTAGTACACTGATTGCTCTCCGGAAGAGCGGCGAGCAGGATCTAGCCACTGGGAATATCCAGCCAGTAAATTTTTTTGTACTTGCGTGGGCAAGTGCGTAAGCTAAGATTTGGAGGTTTTATCACATGCTAAATCTTTACAGGCATTTTGACTAAAATCCACGAGTCCCTTTCTCGGACCGCGGGCTTCCGTTCGATACCGAAAGCTCAGACGAACAACTCGGTGGTTCCCGCCTTCGGTTGTCCTTCTACGCTTAATGAAGAGCATGGGAACATAGCATCCGCCGCCATTCAAATGACGCTGAGGTTACTGTTGCATGCTTGAGGGTCTGCCAAGCCATAATTTGCTTGGACGTGAGAAATAATTACAAAGCTCTACTTCTAGTATACCTGGTACATATGGGGATCTCCCAACTGTTTCTCACGGTTTAGAAAAGGCTATTTGAAATGGCGTATTTTCGCTTAAGTCCTTTCAGCCGGAGACTACCTGAGCTCCACTTCGCCCTGCCTGTGAGCAGGACTTTATCAGAGCGTAAAGGTTCTCCTAAACTGAAGACCACAGGCCGACGTGGGTCTGATAAATCGAACACTGTCTACTTAAAAGAAGCTTTGGCATCATAGTTCTCTGGCGGATGCCATGTTTCCCATATTTCTCTAACTAGGTTCATAGTGAACAGTTGCAAACATTCCCTGTTGATAGAGTTCACAAAGATATTTCCATTGTAGTCCAGTTGTATTGACAAGTTATAGGATCCACCCTTTCCTTTTGCTGCGAAGGCGTATCCCGCTCTATGTCGGCGAAGTGCGTTGATATTGATTTTCGGCTGTTGGGATGCGCTGTGCTACAGTAGCACGGCTGTTATTATTTATAAAAAGCTTGCGAGACAAGCCATTGCGCATTATTGCTGAAGGTTTACCTTCCGCATTAAGTCGGAATGGGTGGTTGACTTTCAGTCAAATTCCCCTATGCAAAGTAGAGCTCCTCAGTCCGTTGGCGTATGAGCTTCTAGCGCTGACGCCCCCTTACCGTGGAACCTATTGAGTTCTCGAAAAATATGATTACTCGAGGACGGGTTTCTTAAGAGATTAAAGACTAAGACCGGTCGGAGGCAAGGACCGTGTTTTTACCTGAGAAGACTTTCCGGTCTGGCCTCATAAGGTGTAGTACCTGTGGAAAGTAGTAACCCATCAAGTTATGAGGCTGTCGTTCTGTTACAGTTTCACAATGAACTACATGCGCAGGCGGGATCGATCGACTTCCCATTCCAGCTTCAGGCTTCAATCAGCCCACAAGTCTGTCGAGCTGCGCAAATATGAGGACGATCCGTCTGCTTAATATTGGCAGCGATTTGGGGCATCAAATCACTGCGTCACAATGCTGCCTTATGTATAGTTTGATTAATCTGATCGTAATTTGCAGAACAGGTTACATTGAGCACCCCAAGGAATTTCTGAATTAGATTAATCCTAATATCCACTCCCCGATAGAAGCCGAAACAATCAACTGAGTTCCCTCCCTCGACGTCTCTGTGCGCCGGTGTGCCAATGGGAAACCACAATGTGCAGAATTCCGAAAAGTCGCATATGCTATGACAGGCCAACCGTTGATTTGGACGATGTCCACAGTGTGTCCCACGGCAGAGTGGGTGCAGGAGCGGTGATTTGCGCGTGAATTGGTTTATAGATGTATGCAGCATCTGCTGCACTCCTCCCCCTCTGACCCAGTTATCCTGGCATTCCAGAAGGCTAGAGACGGAAGAGGGCGCAGGTGGTTGGCGTGACGTAAACCCGCATATAGGTGTGCCATCTCATGCCTGGTCTACACATAAACGACCAGGCTTTCACACAACAAGATGGAAAGCTCGGATTCTAACTGACAGACAGAGCCATAAAGGCCATTTTAAGACGGAACCATTAATGTCTGGCTCTCAGTCCACCAGTCGGCCACTTCACACAAACACACGCTGGGCTGACTGAGAGGTCCGAGTTGGCGCTTCATTTGACAACCTCCCAGGCCATGGCTTTTAGCGCACCCTGATAGTCTCAAACGCATCAGACTGTTTATAGTGAAGAATGTGCGCTGGGAGTCAACCTCACTCTCCCATTTTCCGTGCACAAGTCGATTGCCCAAGCCAGTCAAACCACTGATG